TGTAAGGCAGAAAATGAGCATTTAGTTAATGCGTAGTAGAAATGATGCTGACTTTAAACCACACTCCAGACCTGTATGCACTTCTTGTACAGATCTTGTCACCCCAACAGCCAAAGCAAAGGGCAATTTATGGTCTGAAGAGAAACTTCACTCAGACTTTAAGAGCTGCTGTTTATTCACCTTCTTCATTTTTTTTTCCTCATCTTTGCTTTACAGTTAGTTCTGTGTGTACTCTGGGACAAACTTCTTTCCAGACTTAGGTGCCAGACCCTCATCTCCTCCAATTGAATGTAACACCACTGAATTTAACTGGTCTCAGTTTATATTATTCTCTCTGTAATGATTTCAATAACGTTTTCCTAAAACACTCCAACTCAGTAACTTTGCATCTAGCTGCCTCTCCAGTTGTCCTGGTTTCGGCAGGGATAGAGTTAATTTCCTTCCTGGTAGCTGGTACAGTGCTGTGGTTTGGATTTAGGATGAGAATAATGTTGATAACACACCGATGTTTTAGTTGTTGCTGAGCAGTGCTTACACTAGTCAAGGGCTTTTCAGCTTCCCATGCTCTACCGACTGAGAAGGCTGGAGGTGCACAAGAAGCTGGGAGGGGGCACAGCCAGGACAGCTGACCCCAACTGGCCAGAGGGACATTCTGTACCATGGGACGTCATGCTCAGTACAGAAACTGGGGAAAGCTGGCCGGGGGGGCCGCTGCTCGGGACTGGCTGGGCATCGGTTGGCAAGTGGTGAGCAATTGCACTGTGCATCACTTGTTTTGTATATTGCTATTATTATTATTATTACATTGTTGTTGTTATTATTATTGTTATTATTTTATTTCAATTACTAAACTCTTTTTATCTCAACCCATGAGTTTTTCCTCACTTCTACTCTTCCAATTCTCTCCCCCATCCCACCGGGGGTCGGGGGGGGAGTGAGCGAGTGGCTGTGTGGTGCTCAGTTGCCGACTGAGGTTAAACCACGACACCAGTGCATGTCTTCACTCCAAGACTCAATATTAATATTTTCAGAACTGGGCAATAGCTGTATTCTTGGCCACAGGCAGCCTTGTTTTCGGAAGCCAGTGGCACAGAGCACTTTTCAGGAGGGAATCAGAATTTGTTCAAGATGTCTCAAATTGAGTGAGAAAAATCAATGATCATTCTAGAAGATGTCTTCAAGAAAGATCTCGGTGATCCTGAGAAACCAATAAATGCTTTAGCCCTCAACTTTCCCTGCAACAAGTACAGTACAGGAGACACACATGGAGAGGGGAAGCTCCATCTCTTTTTTGTTTATTATCACTACCTTCTAACAGGATTTTCCAGGGCAAGACTTTAAGTAGCAGCGACCTGATGGCCATCAGGGCTCGACTCCTTGAATCAGTCAGATTGACAGTGGCCAGTTATCTGGGGGGATGCAAAGGATTCAGCTCACAGACTCTCAGCAAGTAATGAATTACAGCAATAAATTACATTGGACATTATTGTGGCATCACGGACCATGAAGCCAGGTGCCTAATACTACTTAAGATGGAGAAGGATGTAAAAGTCAAACAATCACAAAAAAGGAGCTTGATTCATTCCCACCCAAAACCGGCAAAGGGAGTGGATTGATACCAGGAAGGACCTGGTCATTGAAGTTTTGAAAGGAAACAAACCATGAGATGTAGTAACATGATGTGTAACAACATGATGAAGCAGGGAACACCACAGTAATTGGGATAAGTCAGAAAATGTTTTGCATCATCAACATGAGCTGAATATGCAACAAATATCAGTTGGTAAAACAGTAGGTCCTCATGAGCAAGGCTGCTTCCTGTACACAAGGAGTTTAAGAAAGTGGAAAATACTGCTCAATTATCAAATCTCTTTCCGGACACTCCTCTTGTTATATGATCCCTGTTAACCTGGCTAAGATTAAATTTACTCAATAGTTTTCCCAGTATTGAAACGCAGATAGAAGAGCAGCTTTAATTGTTTACTGCATATTCTGCTAAAACCATGATTCTTGTAAGAGTTTGACATGAGTCTATCTCCAGAGAAGCCTTTTCTACCTCTTCAACTTGAATCAGCCTGTGAAAACGTGTTTATAAATTATTAGGCAGGGACTTCTATGGCAGCAGAAGATTGCTTAGGGTACCCTGTTGCTCTTATTTTCACATGGGTCAATCTTTACACATAATCTTAAACAGTTTCATAATTCCTAAAACTGAAAGCATTTTGCTGTAGGCGACCTTAGTTTTGTACGTTCAGGTTTGGTATAAGGTTGTGAGTATCCTCAGCAGACTTTACCAGCTGACTGACAACTCGCACCACCCCTGAATTTTCTGTATGTCTAGAGAAGGAAGGATTTCTGTAAGGCCATTTTGAAATGTAACATCACCAGATTTTTGTTTAACCTTTTACTTAAAATCCATACTCTGGTCAGAAGAATCAGAGGAAATTCAGGGGTTAGGTGGACGTAGGTGGTTTGTAACCATTTAGGGTCTGTCTGGGGAAAAAACAAAATGTCAGAGACGTCAGAGACATCAGAGATGAGATGTCTGATCCATGCCATAGACCTGTAACAGCTCCACTTGCGGATCTTTAGCTGACACTGAGAGATGAACAAGGAAAATTGTATCAAAATGTGCATCTAAGTGCTATTTCTCCAGAGGTTTCATGGAAAGATGGTTAAGGATTACACAGCAGGAAATATTATTTACATCTTCAAAGTGCCAGAGTGGTTCAGCTGCACTGAGTAAATCTAAGCGGGGAGCCAGTGGCCACAGTCCTGTCCATGCCCTCTACTGAGCTGTGGTGTTGTGGGCTGGCAGGATAAAACCAGATATCCCTGCACAAAACCCCCATGTTCTCTGTTTATTTTTCTTTATCCCCGTGTGTTTATCTCTCTTGCTGATTTCATCAAAATATTTGAAGGAAATGCAAGGTAGAAAAATAAACAACGAAGAACAAAACAAAAACAGAATTAGCACAAGGCAGGAAGGCAATACTGTTGGGATTTTGAATGGTCGCCTTTGCTCTTTTCTTACTTCTGGCTTCATCCTGAAAGGATTTCTTGCTCTCTTAAGTCATCTTTGTGGACCTAATCATGATAGATCATCTCCCATGAGTGAGGCCTGGTGCATGCAATGCTTGGCTGCATCAGTAGCTTCTCCTTGCCCTTCGTGACCCTTCTGTAAATTGTATGACCCACTATTTTTCCTTCCATGTTTATTTTATTTCTTCCAGATGGAGACAGGTTTTCTGTCTTTCCTCTGGCCTGGGAGGGCAGGACCTGCTCATGAAAGTAAAACCCACTCAAATTCTAACTGTAACAATGGCAGGAATAGGCACACCTGTATTTTCCTTCCCAGCTCTTCCTCTGAATCAGAAACTGATGCAAAGACAAACACTTTGCCCTGATGTCTCAATTGTCTTTCCTGTAACAACAACCTAGACCTCAGGGGTGTTGTGAAAATGCTGTCTTTTAAAGTGAGAGCTGCATTCCTAACCACGTAGTCTCCGGCCGGAGGAAGCCACACCTGCACCCGCCCGCAGCTGGCTTTGTGCAGGGCGAGGTCCCAGCGAGACTGCTCAGAGCACTTCCCAGTGGGATTCGCTCCGTGGCTGGTGTCCGAAAGACACAGAAGTGCATCCCACTTGCCTATGTTTTGCTCCCCATCCCAATGGCATGTATACCCCAGGATAGCGCCCTGGGTGCGTTTGGACCCGTGTACTCCAGGACTTTGATGAGGTGGACAAACATCACCCGTGGGATAGGATGTAGAGGGATCAATAAGTCTGACAAACCTCTGTTTGAGAGGTTTGAGAAGATGCTGGAATTCTACCACTGGATCAATGATCTGTGCAGAGCACTATGCTCGGCACTGCTGTCTTGGGTCTCCAAGGCCATATTGTGTGCTGACCCCTTAAAACAAGGCTGCAGCCTGCTGCAGCTTGCAATTTTGTCTTGGCTGATAAGCATGGCAATAATGTGGTTAGTTAAGCCCAGCTATGCCAGGAGTTCATGCACTTTGGCATGTGGAAAACTTAGCATTTTCAAGACTGCACAAGTCAGACCATCAGAGATTTTGACTGTCATTTCGGGAGAAGAAGTAGTCAGTAATCCTCATCAGGCTTACTGTCTCAGGATGCATTTATTTCTTTGTTCAGGGGAAAACGCCTCTGTGAGCTTGTTGTCGCAAGGAGTGAATAGAGATCCTTTTGCTGTACACTGAATCCTGAAGTATGCCCATGCCTTCCAGGATCCCCTTGCCCCTGATTTTTTAGTAGTTGCGCCTGACCCTCATCTCCTTTCCTTTCCCATGTCCTTCTGAGATGTGCTGGGAGAAACGGTATGGTGGCTTGGATGTAACTGTTGCCAGGAGGGCTAAGGAAGGGCTCCACAGGTGCCTCACTTGCTTGTGAGATATTGAGGCTCACCATGCTCACAGGGACAGTTGCATTTATTCCATGAGAATGCAGGAAATAGGGGGCCAAGGTAGTGTTCACCGTGTATGTGCCTGCATCCGATTTTCCTTTGGATCCCAAGGCTATCAAACACAGCAAAAACATAGTACTTGTACAACATCCATGGCTATGAAACTTCTAGGATCTATGTCAAGGTCTGGGATTTCCTTTTAACACCTTAATTAATGCAAGAGACTAGTGATTGAGGATTATTTTAGCATCAGTGGGCTATAGATTTAGAAACCGCACAAATAAAAGCAGAAAACATGATATTGTCATGCAGAAAGGATTTTATTGGAACTGACAAATGGGATTTATGAGAACGCAGCAATACTGCAGGGAACAATACAGAGGAATTAAGTTAAATTTACACGAAAGCAAAGTAAAATGGGATTGGGCACAGAGCCAGAACATCGTGAGCAGAAATCTAATACAAATGGGAATATAGTGTCTGAGCTTGTTTCTCAGGATGGATGAGCGTGCCTGGCTCCTGAGGCAGGAGCCCCTCTGGAAGCCATGCCCTTCCCCTCACTCACAAGTTGCAGACTACTCTTGTTCCTGCTGGGTCTTGCCATCCAGGGAAACCTTGCAGGGCTTAGCAGGGCAGTATATCCCACAGCTGCGGGAATAGCAGGGGTAGGAGTACCTGCCACCCAGGGACGCGCCGGACCCAAAGGAGCTCTGGGCATCCAGGGAGCTCCCGTAGCCAAAGGAGCTGCATATCTCCAGTGGGGCTGAGGTGCCCACAAAGCTCTCCTGAGGGCAGGAGCTGAGGATGGGGCCCGGGAAGACGATGGCCACAGGCGGTGGGTAGACCACGGCACGGGAGTCCCCGCAGGAGGTGACGCAGGGCTGGCTCCAGGCGTTTGCATATGGCGCGGGGCAGCTCACATCGCAGGGCGAGTAGCTGCTGTAGTTGCAGGCCTGCCTGTAGGAAGACATCTTTCTGGCTGGAAGTAAGCCTGAAACACACAGGGTGGGGAGAGCATGGGTCAAGGGCGACAGTGCAGGTGCGTTTGCAAAAGGGAGCCCTCATTTATTCAAACCAGTGACAGTGAAGGAGCACATTCAGAGAGCAAGTGCCACAGGTAAATCTGTTCAGAATTAAAGGTGAGGAAGAGTAAATAGAGTAAAATGCATTTTGTCTGTTTCCTATTACTGTTTCATATTTTGAAATGGTTTTTACAACACTCCTTATCTGAATTTCTTTAGATGTAAATTGAACTGACATGTTAGTTCAAACCCTCCCCTGCCCTGCAAAGAACATGACTGTCATGGTTTAACCCCAGCTGGCGAGTGAACACCACAGAGCAGCTCGCGCACTCCCCCCCGGTGGGATGGGGGAGAGAGTCGGAGGGGTACAAGTGAGAAAACTCCTGGGTTGAGATAAAGACACTCTAGGAAGTAAAGCAAGAGCCGCGCACGCAAGCCAAGCAACATAAGGAATTCATTCGCGACTTCCCATCGGCGGCAGCTGTTCAGCCATCTCCAGGAGAGCAGGGCTCCATCACGTGTAACGGTTGCTTGGGAAGACAAACGCCATCACTCCAAACGTCCCCCCCTTCCTTCTTCTTCCCCCAGCTTTCTATTGCCGGGCACGACATCATATGGTACGGAAAACCCCCTTGGTCTGCTGGGCTCAGCTGTGTCCCCTCCCAGCTGCTTGTGCACCCCCAGCCTACTCGTTGGCAGGGCAGTGTGAGAAGCAGAAACGGCCTTGACTCTGTGTAAGCACTGCTCAGCAATAACAAAAACATCCCAGTATTATCAACACTCTTTTCAGCACAACGCCAAACCGCAGCCCCATACTAGCTACTATGAAGAAAATGAACTCTGTCCCAGCCAAAACCAGCACAATGACTTACTTGGTTGAACAGCAGAAGAGAAATGAGACTCAAGAGAAGTGGTTTGAAGACTCTGGGCTACAGGTTCTTTTACACAGTTTCTCAGTTTGCCCTGGGGGAAGTGAACCATTCTTGTCCTCATTTGTACTCGTTGTCCCTCAAATACACTTTTTTGCTTATGTCACTCGATCAAGGTAATTGTTGCGCATACTGTTTCTGGTAACTAAGAAACTCGACCTCGGATGGTTTTCCATCTACTTCATAGCCTGTAGACTTCTTACATGTCAAACGGGGAGGGGGGGGCGATTTCCATCTTTGTTATAACTCTGACTTTATTAGGGACAGAGGGAGATCAAGATTTACTTTGCTATGAATCTGCAAATTAATTTTTCAAATTTTGTTGCTGTCTTATAACTTAACAAATATCTCTGTATGAGTTGGTGTTTGCTTGTTTTTCACAGTGTTACAAATACTGTCAGAGCTGGAGATCGAGGTCTTAGACCTTTGTCCAAAGCCACAGTAGTCTGATCCTTCTATTACTATTTCAGTTTAACTTTTTTGCTTTTTCTAGCAATTCATTTACAGAGAAAGAAAATTTGAGTTTTGGAAGCAGTAATTGTAAATCCTTTTTAAATTCAAAGTCCATCTTCAGCATTGGACTGTTAGCTACAACTGCAAAATAGGGTGGTAGATTGTGCCCTGTTTAATGGCAGGTCTTAACTTTTACATATGAAATGCAGAAATTAATATCCAGCTTTCAGCTAATGTAACTGGGTTTAGAACCAAGGCAGAAGCATTGTCATGATGATCAGCCTTGACTTAGGGAATACTCTTTACTAATCCTAAAGATTTCATACATCAACATGCATTGCTTACCGTATTCGGAAACAGAAGTGCAGAAATAATATGATTAAATCTCAGCGACTTGTGTGAGCCACCATGTCCCTGTCCTATTATTTTTCTGGACTGAGAAATGCCAGAAATTCTGTGTCAGTTATGTTCAAGGGTACTGATCGCACAGCCTTAATTTCCTGTAAATGAGCTTTTCTTCTGTGTTGTGTAGACAGGACTTTTTCTTCCCATTATGTCTTGGAGATGTGTATTTAGGTTGTCGGTGCCTTGGAGCTGGACAATCTCCTATTTTGTTTCTTACAGTTCTCCAAATGATGGTCCTTGACTCAGTGTCACAGTGCAAGAGAGAGAAGAATGAGGACTTGGTGTGCTGATTGCTCCTCCCAGCTCTCCCACTGAATCAACAAGTGTGGCCGAGTGCATTATTTAGCCTCAGTCTTTTAATAATTCCATCAAGAAATCAACAGTAAAAATTACCCAATTCATTTGGGTGTTGTACAAATGAATGGTTGTGTATAAAGCAGTAAAAAACCAAGGATTTTGCATTCTCTTGAGATATAAAAAGAAAAGGCTGAGATTGAGAAATAAGGATGGGAGTATTAAAATGGGCAGCAACTAAACTGGTGTGATCACAAAGCAAATGTGATTTCCAGGGAAGGAGTTAAAAAGGGCTTCATAGACTGAGAACAATTCCAGATTCTGAGGAGGAAGATGACTATTGGGTGAGGATGAAGAAAAGATGATAATGATTCAGCACAGGTCAGGCACCATCTGGTCATTGTTTTCCTTTTAGAAGGGCAACAGGTGACTCCTAGCTCAGGAGACCTCTGCCTGGTGTAGACCTGCCCTCCTAAAGATGCTGAGCCCACGAGGCATGTGCTAGAAACCAGAAAATACAGGTTTATTATTTCCCATACCCCACTGCTCTGCCACTCTACTGTGCTCACTCTGGCAGCAGGAACTGCAACTTGGCCCCGCACGCTCCTCAGACCTTCAAGTGTCATGGCAGCATGGGTATGTATTATGCAGTGTGCGTCTTAAAGACTTGCAGATGGTCACTTTTCATAGTCATTTCCATAGGGTAGTATCTGCCTTGTAAACACAGAAAGAAAAAAAAATTGTAGATGTCCAGCTTATAGACATCCTTCACCATCCCTCATTCTTCCACCATGCCTTTCAGAGTTTGCCCTGCCTCAGATGACCATTGGTGTTGCATCGGCAACCTTGACTATCATCCCTCTGGCTTTTCAAGGATTTAATTCCAGAGGTGTTTCACAGGACCAAGGAGATTGTTGCAAGACTTGGAGAGTCCAGTGCGAGGACTCCCTGCTACTGCCTCCCAGGTCTGACAGATCCTGGGGGTTTGGGGTTTTGCCCATGAAACTCATTTCATTTAAACTGATCTCATGGATTACTGCATACTTTGGGTGCACACCACAGCCAAATTTTCATCTGATTTCTTCTGCCTCCAAGTTAACCTTTCCCTTTTGCAGTTTTGTGCTAAATTAAGCATTTTTCCCAGCAGGTAAAATACTGCTCTGTGCAAGCCTGTGTAACACCCACATGAAATGGGAAATTACTACTGATGATTTCTAGAAGAGATGATTAAGACAGAGGCCAAATAATTTACCAAACATCTCTTGGCAATTAAGTGAGCCTCTGGGAGGAGATCTCGGGCATGTCTTGTACTTGTTAGTGTTATTATTTATAATTGATTCTATTATCACTTAACTTATGTAAATGAGGTTGATGCCCAGATACCATGAAAACAGAGAGCTCAGACAGTCACTGCTGTCAGGAACCAATAAACGAAACCAACTAGTTTTAGGTATGGTGAAAGGAGCTCTCTCTCGCTGGGGAGAGCCTCCTGCAGCGAGTGCAGTGGGCGGGTTGTCCTTGCCGCAACACATGCAGGAAAACGAGGGCGTCTAAAAACCTCTCCCCAAATTCTTGGCAAAGGTTATGCTGGAAATCTGCTCCAGACCACTGTGCCTTAACCGCGACATCTTCACCTTGCCCTGGGTCTAGACTTGATGTTATTTTCTGTTTTCCGTGTTGTAGTTTCCCTAGTAGGTTCAGGAGCAAGACCAGGGTAATGTCTCTGTTCATAATAAATAGCAAAGAAAACAGAGCGTTTCCATCCTGCTTGATAAAGCCACAGGAGTGCAGATTACAGCTCACGGTAGGGCAAGGACATGGTTCCTTAAATGAGTTTTGCTGTCAAGAGGGAATCATCATGGGTAATCTAATTCAGCTCTCTAATTACTAAATGCTGTAAGCAATATTTTTTACTAATAAATCCTTTAAGATCATCAAATTTATATGTAGGTGCAAGAGGACCCCAGAATTTGACCACTTGTTTTCATCTGTGGTCTGTTACATCAGGTGAGGAGCTGGATACAATTTTCCAGTTGTAAATTTATTTATTGCAAACTCCTGTACATAGCTAGACCACAATCCACTGCCTGAAAGGGTCCAACGTGATGTTTCAGAACAAAGTTGTTGTTAAAAGCAGTACATTTTGGAGTAACTTATGCATGAGGCTAATTCCTTCCTAGTGTTTCTAAGCAAGGATTTCCTTGCCCTTTTTTGTATTGTTTTTAACTAGGGCAATATATATTCACCAGAATGAAGTGGGATAAGATGACTTCTGCAGCATGTAAGTCCCGTTTCCCCTCTCTCCACCACCCCTTCAAAATAGGCTGTAGAAACTCACTGTTAAAATCAGAAAGGCCCCTATGTCACAGAGCTGCTTCTCTGTAGCTGTGAACAGGATGGTCACCATAACTGAAGAACCCGAGGTCTGTGGTCTATGGGGTTGGGTTTTTTCCCACCTATTGAGGAAAAAGAGAGTGCAGATAAAAAGGGAGCAGAAAGGTATCTTGCCAAGGTGGTATAAAGATCTCTAAGTTTCATCTCCCCTTGCAATTAAAAGGTTTGAAAACCTTTACACCAGGCATGACAATATCAATAAAGTCTATTTTGTCAAACCAGCAATCCTCTGTTCTACTGATCTGAGTTATGTGCTTTGAAGCTTGGACAAGTGGAAGAAGGAAGTCAGTTTCTGCAATGAGTAGAAAGAAACTAAGGGTGAATACTGTCCCTATTTTGAGATGAAAGATTTCTGTAGGCTGCAACATGGATGTGATACCTTTCAACTAATAATTGCTTAACAGCAGACAATATGCAAAGATTCCTCCACCCTTTGACGTGACAAATGCAGGAAAGTTTGTTTTGTAACTAGGA